CTAGGAATTGTGAGATACCTTTCAGCCCCACATGTTCCTCCTCGGGACCTCTGCGCTGGATATTTGAGCCCACCCTTCCCAGGGACCTTCACTCTTGGGTTAGGTGGGGTAATATTTGTACCAACCACTTTGAGTTTGAATGCACTCTCTCCATAGGAAAGTGTGCTCTGGTTTGGGGTGGGGGTTGTTTTTGTACTTCTTTCTTTGCTATGCCTTCTCAGTAAATATCACTTCATAAAAGCTAGTTGATATCAACTGGCTAATTGAGATTGGAAGGAAATAAGCATTTCTTTTTTTATAACCAAATTTGTTTATTTATTTTGATTAATTTATTTTTAGTTTTCAACATTCACTTCCACAAGCTTTTGAGTTTTAAATTTTCTCCTCCTCCCCTCCCCTCCCCCTCCTCAAGACAGCATGCAATCTGATAAAGGCTCTACATATACATTCCTATTAAACATATTTTCACATTAGTCAAGAAGAATTAGAACAAATGGGAGGAACCACAAGAAAAAAGAAACAAAACAAAAAAGAGAGAGCAACAGTATGCTTCAATCTGCATTTAGACTCCATAGTTCTCTCTCTGGATGTGGATACCTTTTTCCATCATGAATCCCTTGGAGATGTCTTAGATCCTTGCATTGCTGAGAAGAGCTAATCTATCAAAGTTAGTCATCCCACAATGTGGCTGTTACTGTGGACAATGTTCTCCTGGTTCTGCTCACTTCACTCAGCATCAGTCCATATGAGTCTTTCCAGTTTTTTTCTGAAATCATCCTGCTCATCATTTCTATAAGAAATGCTATAAGCATAATAGTATTCCATTACATTCATACACCACAATTTTTGGGCATCCCCTCAATTTCCAATTCTTTGCCACCACAAAAAGAGCTGCTATCTTTTTGTACATGTGGGTCCTTTCCCCATTTTTACAATTTCTTTGGGACACAGACATAGAAGTGGATTTGCTAGGTCAAATGATATGCACATTTTTATAGCCCTTTGGACATAGTTCCAAATTGCTCTCCAAAATGGTTGGATCAGTTCACAACTCCACCAAGAATGCATTAGTGTTCCAATTTTCCCACATCTCCAACATTTATCATTTTTTTGTTTTGTCATGTTGGCCAATCTGATAGGCATGAAGTGGTACCTAAGAGTTGTTTTGACTTGCTTTTCTCTAATCAACAGGGATTTAGACCATTTTTTCATATGCCTATAGATGGCTTTAATTTCTGCATCTGAAAACTGCCTGTTCATATCCTTCGACCATTTATCAATTGGAGAATGATTTATATTCTTATAAATTTGATTCAGTTCTCTATATATTTTAGATATGAGGCCTTTATCAGAAATACTGGTTGTAAAAATTCTTTCCCAATTTTCTGCTTCCCTCCTAATCTTGCTTGCATTGGCTTTGTGCAAAAAAAACCTTTTCAATTTAATGTAATCAAAATTACCCATTTTACATTTCATAATGTTCTTTATCTCTTGTTTGACCATCAATTTTTCCATTCTCCATAAATCTGACAGGTAAACTATTCCTTGCTCCTCCAGTTTGGAAATAATCATTTCTTAAGTGCCTGCTACGTGCCAGAAACATGCTAAATGCTTTATAAATATGATCTCATTCGATCCTCACAACAGCCCTGAGAAAGAGGTGCTATAATCACATCCATTTTACAGTTGAGGAAACAGACAGACAGAGGCTGACTGACTCACCCAGGGTCACACAGTCAGGAAGTATCTCAGGCCATATTTGAACTCAGCTCCTCCTGACTCTCAGGTCCACTGCTCTATCTACTGCGCCACAAAGCTGCCTCTTTGGAGGCGAGCACACTGGCTAGAGTTTGGCGAAGAACAGAGCTAGAAACCCCAGCCCCTCAGAGTTACCCAGTGATAGAACCCAAGAGAAGGAGCAGTCATTCTGCCCCGGGAAGCTAACTTGCTAGTGAGAGTTGGGATTGGGAGAGTGAGCCTGGGCAGGGATACACCTTAAAAGAAAACCCACCAAAGAAACATTGAAAACACACCCAGAAGAAAGTGAGAGGGGCCCCAGAGAAGCTGGGCAGGGATGGCAGTGCCTGAGAACGTATCATGTACTTTACCCCACCCCCATATCTATCCCTCTTTGCCCTTCATTGCTTGTGCAGATTCATTAGGCTTGTTGGTATCTCTCAAGTTCAAGACAAAATAAAAACCAATTTGTCAAGGATGGGAGGGTGAGTGTACCCAGATTGGGAGGGCACCAGGAACCACCTGTGACAGGCTCTGCTGGCCATCTCAGGCCACAGCGGGCAGGATTCTAGGGTAGGAAGCAGCCCAGAGTGCTTGCATCCTGGTACACAGAGAGGAGAGAGGGAGGTTCCCCTAAGGGAGGCCAGGCTTGGGTCCCTGCTCCCCTGTTTGAAGGGCTGCAATGCTGGGCCCTGCCCTTTGGCCCCCAGGGACAGCCTGCTATTGCTTCTCACCTCCTGGACCTTGAGCTTTCCATGGGGCCCTCCACATAGGAAAGGACAGTTAGCCTGCATTGTCTGGGCCCCTGACTAAGGGAAGACGAAGACAGTCAGAGGGCTGGCTCCATCTGCTTCTGCTTCTTCAGCTGTGCCTCCCCCAGGGAGAGAACGGAGCTGGCTCTCTTTTGCCTTGGGAGGCCAGGCCTCGATTGGACCTTCTCCAGACCTTCCTCCTACCCAGCCACTAGGGCGAGGTCCCTGCTGTAACTGGGCAGGGACAACGTGCCTGGCCAGCCCAGGCCTAACTCTCCCCTCCCACTGGGCACAACCGTGGGGACAAGTGGTCAGTCCGAGCCTGGGGTTCACTGGCCCTCCCAGGCCCCCTCTGGGAAGGGGAGACAACGTGAGAACCGAGATTCGAGCCCACAGGCCCAAGGGCCTGTTCCAGGTCTTCTCCCTGCCCACCTGTGTGACCTTGGGCAAGTGTCTGGGCCTCAGTGTCCCATCTGTGGAATGGGGTTGGTGTTGCTTAGCTCTGTCTGACTCTCCGTAACCCCATTGGTGGTTTTCCAGGCAGAAATACTGGAGGGGTTTGCCATTTCCTTCTCCAGCCCATTTTACAGATGAGGAAACTGAGGCGAACACTATGGTGCCACCTAGCCGCCTTTGTAAAATGAAGTTACACTGACTATTTTTTTTTGTTTGGCTAAGCAATGAGGTTAAGTGACTTGCCCAGGGTCACACAGCTAGTAAGTTTCAAGTGTCTGAGGCCATATTTGAACTCAGGTCCTCCTGACTCCAGGGCTGGCACTCTATCCACTGTGCCACCTAGCAGCCCCTAAATGACTCTTAAAGTCTTTTACAACTCCTAGCCCAAGTTCCTGTGCTAAGGAGCCAAGTGGGTGGCCCACAGAGTGTGCTGGAGTGAGTGGGCACTCCCATCTGTCAACCTTGAGGTCTGGAATAAGCAAAAGTAGGAGGGTAAGGGAATGGTCCCAGACCAATTGACGGTCACCTAACTATACCTGTCCAAGCACAGCTGGAATCCTGTACTCATTTCTGGGATTGATGAGGGACGTAGATAAGCAGGGGAATGGCCAGGGGAGGGCAACCCAGATGTACAACCACTACTTTATTTAGCCCCTACTGTGTGCCTCTGGCAAAGACAAAAACAAAACACTCCCTGCCCTCAGAGAGCTTATATTCCTATTGTCTGAGGTCAGTAAGGGGCAGGGCTTTGAAAGAAACTAGGGATTCTCCCAGCTATAGCAGGCCAGTAGCCACACCCTGGAGAAACCATCTTGGCAGATGGCTAAACCAGGGTGAGGGTAACTGAAGGGAGTTAGGGGGTGATGACACCAAACACGTGAAGACTTCCCTCTCCTGAGCAGGTGGATGACAACAGCTCGTTCCAGAGGCCGTAAAGCAGGTGCTGTGAGCGCTTAGAGCTTGGTCAGACGTTGAAGACACCAACATCACTCGCCATAACCCAGGCCACTACCGGTCATCTTGACTTCTGTCCTGCCACTAGACTTCCATGATTCTGGAAGACAGTGAGGCTGACGACCCTGTGCCGCTCTGCCTCACTTATGTCCAGTGCAAGTCAAGAGCTCACCCATGTCATCGGTCCTCTTCAAAATGAAGGAGGAGCAACCAAGAGTCTCTGAGTCTAAACGAAAGCAATTAGGCAAATGCTCCAGGCCTAGAGGCACGCCGTGCCCAGGCCCGAACGGGGTGTGTCTGCAGAGGAAGAGGAGAGTAAGACCAGTCTGGAAAGGCTGACTGAACCCCAAGGGGGAGATGCCAGTAACCTGGTCAGACCTGTGCTTTGAGGACATCAATGTGGCAGCTGCTGAGGAGGAAGAACTAAAGAGAGGGGAGAAATCTGCTGTCGTTCAGTGGTATTCACCATTCCGCGACCCCGTAGACCCCCCCCCATCCTCCACCATCTCCCCAAGTCTGTCCAAGCTCATGCTCACTGTTTCCATGACACCATCCATCCCTCCGTCTCATCCTCTGCCATTCCCTTGTCCTTTTGCCTTCAACCTTCCCAACAGCGGGATCTTTTCCACTGAGTCCCATCTTCTCATGGTGTGGCCAGAGTACTTAAGCTTCAGCTTCAGTATCTCACCTTCCAGTGAATAGTCTGAGTTAATTTCTTTAAGTACTGACTGCTTTGATCTCTATGCTGTCCAAGGGACTCTCAAAATCTCCTCCAGCACCACAACCCCACAGCGGCGATTCTGCAGCGTTCAGCCACACATCGCTCTGGAAAACCCGTCGCTTTGACTAGCTGGCCCTTTGCCGGCAAGGCAACGTCTCTGCTTTTTGGTCTGCTGCGCAGATTGGCCAGAGCACGCCTTCTAAGGAGCAAGCGCCTTTTCATTTCAGGACTGCCATAGCTGTCTGCAAGGCTCTTTGAGCCCAAGAAGAGAAAGGCTGTCACTGCTTCCATTTCTTCTCCATCTATCTGCCAGGAAGTGAAGGGACCAGTTGCCAAGACAGTCGTTTTCTAGTTTTGTTTCATGTATTAAGCTTCAAGCCAGCTTTTGTACTCTCCTCCACCAGAGGCTTCTTAATTCCTCTTCACTTTCTGCCTCTGGGGGAGAGACTGGAGGAGACCAAGGAAGAGGCTCTTTCAGGCCTAGGGGTAAGCCAAGGCAAAGGCACAGAGGCAGGAAGGGGCAGTGGGATGTCCTGGGGTGTTACAGTTCAAGGATGATGGTAAGGTTCTGAGCCTGGGTGACCGGGAAGATTCTGAGTGTCCCAGGTAGTCATAGGAGAGTTAGGAAGACTGACAGTTGATTGGGGGGAGGGGGGGAGAAGATAAACTGAGTTGGAAACGTCTCTGGGACATCGCGTCAAAGAAATCTCAAATGCAGTTGGTGATCTGGAACAAGAGCCCAGGGGAAAGCCCAGGCCTGATCAGCTGGGCCTGAGGACTGAGAGGATGGTGAAGGGCCTCAGCTGACAGAACTGGGGGCCTTCTGCCTAGAGAAGGGAGGGGTGACACTGTGGAGGAGGGGAAGCATGATATGATCTCTGGGTTCAATATCGAAGAGCCTGGCTACTTGGCCCTTCCCACCCCTGAGCTACCTCTGCCCTGATGCACGCTCTCCAGATGCTATCCTATGCCTCCCTTCTGCCCGCCACGTTCCCTTCACTCTCAGCTCACCTCCAAATCTCCAGCTGGGGGACAGTTGGCCTTCAGTCACAGGGTGCCCAAGTGAGTACCACCCTCTCTTGCTTTCTTCCAGCGGTCCATGTGTGTTCTGTGAGAGTGTAAGCTCCCTGATGGCAGGGCTGACCTTGCATATATGACCCTAGCTAAATAGCCTGGCACACCCAAGAAGTCTGGAGTCAAATCTGTCTCTGTCTTTCTCTTTCTCTCTCTCCCCCTCCCCCCCAGGAGGAGGCAGAAGCCGGAGGACAGGACAGGGAACGGGAAGCCAGGGGCGAGATGCAGGCCAAACCTTGCCTAGTGGAGGGTCGGTCCAGGCCAGGACCCTCGGCCATCCAAGCCCCCATCACCTGCCCGTACTGGAGGACTCCATCCCGTCCCAGTCCTCATCACCAGCCCCTTCTTCTTCCTTGCCTGGGTCCCGGCCTGGTACCCCGCCCCTCCCTCCGCTCCCCCCCCCCTCCGGCTCGCTGGCCCCTAGGAATTGCTGGGCTTTGCATAAATGCGTTCCCAAAGGAAGTGCCGGGGTAGGCGGGCGGATGAACATTAACCCCAGGATCGCTCCTGGGCACCGACCCCCAGGCCACGAGGTGCATAGACTGGCAGGGCCAGGCCCGGGGTGGGAGAGCTCGCTCTGTGACCGTGGGCCAGCCTTAGCTTTCCCTCCAGCGAAAGGACCTGGACCCCGTAAAGACCCGCACCTCTGTCTGTTGGGGGCGGGGTCCAAGGGCCCCACGTGACTCCGGCGCTCCAGGAGCGGCGCATGCGCCGACAGGCGGTGACGGGCGGGGTGCGCTGAGCGGGGCAGGCTGGGCGGAGCAGGAGGCGGAGGCTCAGGCAGCGGCCATGGCGTCCGAGCGGCTACCCAGCCGGCCCGCCTGCCTCATCGTGGCCAGCGCCGCCGCCCGCGGTGAGTCACCGGCCGGGGCCGGGCGTCGGGGGCTGCCTCTGCCACTTGGATCCCCGAGCGCCCACTCGGGATGGGCCGCAGCCCCGGGGATCGGGATCAGAGCCAGCCCCCGGCCTCGGAGCGCCCGACCCTCTCCTCCCCCAACCCCCTCCCCCATCCTCCCTCCCTCCCATCCCTGGGAGGTGGGCCACTCACTACACTCACCAGGCCTTTCCCTTGTCAGAGCCTCAGTTAACTCATCTTTCAAATGGGGGATACTGTCCTGAGCCCTGTCTGCCACAGGGCTGTTCTGAGGGAGAAATGGGAGTCGCTGTTGTTAGAGTAAATGATCCCGACCTCTCGATGTAGTACTCCCGGTACCTGCACACATCCACACTGTTAGTCGTGCCCTCACGCCCTCACACCTCACACCTCACACCAGAGTTCAGCCCCCCTCTTCCCCAGGTGCCTACTGGATGCTTCCCCTTCTGTGTCCAGGCACCTTCAGACTCAGCTTGTGGCCACCAGCTTCATCCCGGCCTTCTGATCCGTAGTCTAGAGTTTTCTGTGAAGTCAGTGCCAGACTCTTGTCAAGTCTGCCTTAGAAATATGAGTGGCCTCCATCTGGCCTTTGCCATTTTTTCCCCCATTAATTTTTCTTGGCAAAGGTTTTCACAGTAGCACAATTTCAGGGCTGGAGCGGCCCTCAGAGATCACATGGTCCAGTCTTCCACCTGACCAGAAAGCCCTTTGAAAACGTCCCTGCCCAATGGTTGTTCACCACCTTGTGAACCACAGACCTAATGATGGGAGCCGATTGCTTCCTGAGGCAGTCAGTCCTCTGTCGGGCGTCAGCCCAGCAGAACCTGGGGAGCTCTTACACAGGTCTTGGGTCTGGATACACGCCCACGGGCCTTTCAGGTCCATTCAGCAAGCATGAATTAATCACCTACCACTTCCAGAGTCCCAAGAGAAGGGGCATTTGTTGGGTGCCTACTGTGTGACTGATTTACAAATTCACAACAGCCTGGAAGGGAGGTGCCATGCCATTATTATTGCCATTTTACGGATGTGGGAACTGAGGCAAACAGAGTTGAAGTGACTTACCCAGGGTCACATAGCTGGGAAGTATCTGAGGTTCAAACTTGAACTCAGGACTTCTGACTTCAGGCTGCCTTCACAAAAAAAAGAAAGAAAGAAAGAAATGAAGTCAGCCCTGATTTCCTCAGCTGGCCTTTAAGCCATGTGATACTGCAGTGGATCAGAGCCTGGGAGCCCAGGCCAGGCCCTGGCTGGGATCCGAGCAGGTTTGTCCAAAGACAAATTTGTAACTGGTTGGGGCAGACACCTTCCATCCTGGGGCACTAAAGACCTTCCTGGTGAGAGAGAGAGAGAGAGAGAGAGAGAGAGAGAGAGAGAGAGAGAGAGAGAGAGAGAGTATGTGAGAGTGTGTGTGTGTGTGTGTGTGTGTGTGTGTTTGTGTGTGTGTGTGTGTGTGTTTGTGTGTGTGTGTGTGGTGGAGGAGAGGATGCCTGCCCCACCCCTAACAGGAATTCACTGCTGTGTGACCCTAGACAAGTTCTTTGCCCTCTTCTAGCCCAACTTTCCTCATCTGTAAAGTGGGGCAAACAATCAGTATGGCTGTAAAGGAGGTTTGGAAGCTGGCATTATTATAGGTGTGCCATCCATACTGCTCTGAATTGGCAGGATGGACCCCATCACTCCCTTTTGTCCAGAGAAACGGGAGGGTCTGGGAACTGTGGCATAGGCTGGGCCAGATATAATCACCCTGTCACCCAAAGAAAGGCTGTTAGTGTGGCCCAGCTGAAGCCCCCTGGGCTCTCTGTGGTCCGCCTTCCCATGTCTTTAATTACTGGTGCTAGGATCTTGCAGGAAACCGAGGCCAGCTTCTTTAGCTGTCCTTTTCAGACTCATTCCCTTCTCCTCCCTTTTTTCACAGTCGGTGCTTCCTTGGCCTCTGTCCTGTGTCCCCCATTTTGAGCTGCTATCCCTGCCAAGTGGCAAGGCAGCCACATCCATCAGGCCTTTCTGTGCAGGGGGGTAAAGTTTACCTGGGCCAGGGAATGTGAACTCTTGCCCCTGGGCTCTCTGATCTCTTTTATCTCTTACTTATCTTGGGTATCAAGTCCCGATTACTCATGTTTATTCTTTCTTTTCCAGTTCAAAGGTCACTCTCCCTCTGGACAGAATAACAGATAGCAGGCCACTGAGTCCCCTGGGCCTTCACTTATCAGCCCCATCCACCCTGAGCAGGAACCTTCCTCTCCCCCATTGTCTTTTATTTTAATTTTTTCTAATTCCAATTTTATTTTCAGGTCCAAATGTTCTCCCTCTCTTCTCCCCGCTCCTACTTAACGAGAAGACAATCTACCAAATTACCAATAGATATAATCATGCAAAACAGATTCCTCAGTTCAAAAAAAGAGAGAAGACAGGCTTCACTCTGCCCTCTGAGTCCTGCGACAACCTTGGCTGCAGGCAGATACCATGTCTCATCATCACCAGTCCTTTGAAGTCCTGTTGATCTGTGTAACCAAGCCTTTGGCTACAATGTTGCTGTTCACTGTGTCAACAGCTTGTCTTCTTGGTTGGGCTTCCCTGACTCTGCATCAGCTCAGGCATGTCTTTCCAGGGTTCTCTGAAAGCAGCCCCTAAGCCCTGCATCATTCCTCATCGCCATCCTAGGCTGGCCCTTGACTGTCCTGTTCCCAGGGGTGCCCCTCGGCTCACGGCACCAGCCAGAGGCCCTGTGTTCCTCTGGGCTCACTCTGAGCCTCTGCAGGCTCTGCTTGCCCGACGGAGTCATTCTTTCCTGTTTCCCCCATCCACTGCCCTGGCCCCCATATTCTGGATGTGCCTTTGAAAACTCTAAGTTGGTACGTTCCCTCTTGTTGCGTTGGTTTCTTTGAACGACTTTTAACAACCAATGGATCGATGTTTTTACTATACGTACTAATAGGCCAGTCACTGTATTGGCAATGGGGATTCAAAGAAAAGCAAAAACATGGCTCCTGTCCTCAAGGAGCTGACTTTCTAATGGGAGAGACAAACATGCAAGGAACTAATGCATCATTATCTACAAATAGGAAGAATTCCCTTCAGAATGGGGGTGGGGGGAGTATGAGAAGCCAGGAAAGGCCTCCTGAACAATGGGGGAGGGAGTTTCAGCTGAGTCTGGGAAGCAGGGAGGCGGAGTAAAGGAGGGAGAGCACCCCCCAAGAACCTGTGGGTGGGCCAAGGCATAGAGATACAGGCCGACGTGTTTTGTTTGAAGACAGGCAAATAAGCTGGTGTGACCCTGGGCAAGTCACGTCATCCTGTGTGCCTCAGTTTCCTCATCTGTAAAATGAGCTAGAGAAGGAAATGGCACACCACTCCAGTATCTCTGCCCAGAAAACCTCAAATGGGGTCACAGAGAGTTGGACACGAGTGAGCCCAGATGGTGAAGAGCTTTAAATTAGAAACAGAGGAGTTTTCACTTGATCCTGGAGGAAATGGAGAGCCACTGGAATGTGCTGTGTTGAGTAGGGTGGCAGTAGGCTTGGGTCTGCGCTTAGGAGAATCGCTGACAGTCTGACAGAGGAGGGAATGAAGTGGGGAGAGTTGAGGCGCGGAGGCTCATTCTTCAGTCCTGTCCAATCTCCCGGCCTCATTTGGAGTTTTCTTGGCAGAGATCCTGGTTGGCCATTTCCTTCTCCAGCTCATTTTACAGATGAGGAAACCGAGGCAAGCAGGGTGAAGTGACTTGCCTAGGGTCACACAGTCAGTAAGTCCCTGAGGCCAGATTTGAACTCAGGAAGGTGAGTCTGCATACTGTGCACTCTGGTGTTCCCCTCACTGCCCAGGGAAGTGAGGCTAGCTAGGAAGCTATTTATAATAATCCACGGGAGAACTGGAGACAGTCTGAACCAGGGGCAAGGCTGTGAGAAGTTCTTCCCAGGGGGGTTGGGGAGGGAGAGTTGGCAAATCTTAAATAAGGGAGTGGAATGGAGGATGACTCCTAGTGGGGAGCCTGGCATCTTGGGAGGAGGGTGGTGGTCTCCGGAGTAATGGGGGAGTTTGGAAAAGGGGACGGTTCAGTGTCAGACTTGTGGGGCTGGATCTCCTGGCTTGTGTATGGCCCGCTTCCCATTCCTGAGCCTCTGTGGAAAGATACAATGCAGCCTGCCCTTTTAGCCCTAAACTTGGCTTCAGAGTCCTGGGAGGTGATTCACTAATCCTGTTCTCTCAGCTAATCCCCGTGGCCTCTCCCCCAGCCCCTTTGTCCCAGGGAAGCTGGTGATTCTCTGCCAGCAAAGCAAGGCACATAGTTTAAGTTTGGGGCTTTTGATGAGCCCCCAGGAGGACAGTGGGAGTGCTCAGGCCAGTGGCGGGAGGGGGAGAGGCAAACATCTGCTTGAACCTACTGCTGTGGCTTGTGCTGTTCCCTGCCCAGTCGGGCCGTGAAGGGACAGAGGCTTCTCTGTAATAATACACTTTACCATAATTATTTCCTTCAATTAACAACAACAACAACAACAACAAAAATCTCCCTCATTGAAGAAAGAAAAGAAAACTTGGTACGGAGTGTGCTTAGTCACACAGAGCCAATCCCTGTATTGGTCATGTCCAACAAGTTCGTGTCGGTCTACTGTCTGTCAGGAGGCGGGGAGCCTGCTGCTTCTTCGCTCCTCTGCACTTGTGGTCAGTCATTCCATTAACCGCAGTTCTGAAGACTTTCCTGGTTGCTGGTCTTTGCAGTATTGCTGCTGGATAAATTGTTCTCCTAGTTCTGCGCCCTTCCCTCTGCGTCAGTCCGTACAAGTCTTCCCATCCCCTTCATCATTTCTTACAGTGCGATAGTGTTCTGTCACATACGTGCACCACAACTTGTCCAGTTCAGCTGTTGCTGTTCAGTCCTGTCCGACTTTTCCCCACCCCGTTTGGGGTTTTCTTGGCAGAGACGCTGGAGTAGTTTGCCATTTCCTCCTTCAGCGACTTGCCCAGGGTCACACAGCCAGTAAATGTCTGAGGCCAGATTTGAACTCAGGAAGATGAGTCTTTCTGACTTCAGGCCAGCACACTAATCCACTGTAGCGCCACCTCGCTGCCCCAGAACTTGTCTAGCCATTTCCCAGTTCATGGGCATCCTCTCAGTTTCTGTTTGTTTGCCACCATGGAATGAGCTGCTGTACGTTTTTGTGTACCTGGAGGTCTTTCCTCCCGTTTCTTTGATCTCTTTGGGATATAGTGGATATGGAAATAGCATTAGCGACTCCATTTTGCCTTTATCCACCATTTTGTGAAGTTAAGTCTCAAAGTCACTTGAATTTGGAGAAGTCATGAGACTGCCCCTTCCAGTCCCCTGATTTAGGAAATGTCACAAAACTACCCTTTTTCCTTTTCTCCTCAGTGGATCCTGATTGTCTCCCATTCTCCTCCAGCCAACCCTCCCCCTCACCCCATCGTCTCTAGCTCTCCTCCTCCAATAAGAAGCCAAGTGTCTTCACTCTTTCATCCTGTTTTTCCTTCCCTCTAAACTACATTAACTGGCTGCACTCACTGCTAAATAAATAATTTGTCTGCATGATACTCAGCTTTATTATTTAATTAACAATAGACCTAGCTATTCTTAGCGGTATCACTAAGTCAAAGGAGAAGGACAGTTTACTAGCTTTGAGGTCATGGCTCCAAATAGTTTTCCAGAATGACTAAGCCAGTTCACAGCTCTACCAACAATCAGTGTGCCTGTTTTTCCATAGCCCCTCTAGCTTTGTTGTTTTCCCTGCTTTTTGTCAGTTTTGTGAATCTAATGGGTTTGAGTTAGAACTTTTGAGTTGCTTTCATTTGCCTTTTCCCAATTATTAGTGATATGGCTTTTTAAATATGGCTACAGTTAGAGTTCTTCCTTTAAAAACTGCCTGTCCTTTTGACCATTTATCATTTGGAGAATGGCTCTTATTCTTTTTTAAGAATGTATTTATTGGGGCAGCTAGGTGGCATAGTGGATAGAGCACCAGCTCTGGATTCAGGAGGACCTGAGTTCAAATCCGGCCTCAGACACATAACACTTACTAGCTGTGTGACCCTGGGCAAGTCACTTAACCCCATTGCCTAAAAAAATCTTCACAGCACGTTTCTCTGATAAAGGTCTCATTCCTAAGATATATAGGTTAATGATTCAAGTTTGTAAAAATAAGAGCCATTTAGTTGTGAACTGATCCAACCATTCTGGAGGGCAATTTGTAACTATGCCCAAAGGGTATAAAAATATGCATACCCTTTGACCCAGCCATAGCACTTCTAGAGCTATAACCCAAAGAGATATAAAAATGGGAAAAGGATCCCCATGTACAAAAATATTTATAGCAGCTCTTTCTGTGGTGGCCAAGAATTGGAAACTGAGAGGATGCCCATCCATTGGGGAATGTAGGTCTTTTCCAGGTTTTTCTGAAATCATCCTACTCGTCATTTCTTATGGAACAATAGTATTCCATTACATTCATATACCATAACTTGTTCAGCCATTCCCCAAGCTTCGAGGGTGGCTCCCACCTGGCCAGCCTAGGCTCTGGAGAGGCCTCCCCCTCCCCCAATCCCTGCAGGTCCTCCTGCCTGGCTCCAGCCTCCAAGGCAGGCACGTGCCCAAGGATTCCTGACCTTCCCTCATGTCTTACAGGTGTGTCAGCCCACTCATTCCTCCACTGCTTCACCATGGGCAGTGCCGCCTTCAACCTGCAGGTGGCCACACCAGGGGTAAGTGCCAGTGGGTCCCTGGGTGGTCCATGCAGCCTAAGGGGAAGCAGCAGCCCTGTGCCCTGGGGTGGGGCCAGGCCCTGGGTTTTCTGGGTACCCACCCCCCAAAGAGCCTGGTTTCCTTTTTGTCTTTCCCTGTGTGTCAAGAGGGAAGGTTAACAGACAGACTTCCTCCAGGTGGGGCCTGAGAAAGCTCTATTGCCCAGCATCTCTTGGGCTGGGAACCCAACCCCACCTCCCACCAGGAGGCCTCCCCAAGAATGCCTGTTGGCCAGGGCCGAGCTCCCACAGTCCCTTCCCCCTCTTCCCCAGGGGGCACCTTCTTCTCACTGGTTGGCCACACATATGCCAGCTGCTAGTGCCCTCTGGGCCTGAGCGCCCTGGATTTATTCTACATATGCTCATATGTGCCCGGTCCTTTCTTCTGACAGTGCGTAAGTCCCCAGAGGGCAGGTGCCATTTCAGCTACTGTCTGTGTGGCCCTAGGCAGTGTCCAGCCCAGGATCTGGCCCAGAACAGGCCCTTAACGAATGCCAACCCTTCTGGAAGGGCTCATGACTCAGCAGCCCAGGGAAGAACTGAGTGCCCACACTCCTGCCGGCCGCAGGAAAGGACCAGCCCCTTGGGCCCCTTTGTCTGCGCAGTTTAGGAGATCCCGAAGGCAACTTGTCCATCTAGAAACATACACTCACATCCCTCCACAACCGCTGATACCTGCCCCCACCTTCGCACATGCACACTTCCATATGCACATACACAGATATGCCCCACACCTCCCTCAACACAGCCCCTGCCATCCCCCACACGCATACTGGCACACGCACGCGCACACACACACACACACACACACACACACACACACACACACCCCTCTCTCCATCACAACCAGTCAAGATGGTGATCCCCAGGCCAAGGGGCTACTTGGAGCTCAGCTCTACACTCCAATGAGGCCTGTCACCAAATCTTGCCAATTTGAGCAGTATGTAGGAAGTGCCAACTATGGGCCAGCCCCTGGTGCCACAGAGAGGACCTTCGGGAAGCCAGAATAGAAAGGGTCCAAGCTGCTGGGCCCAAGGGAGGGCTTGACACAGGGGGAGGAGAGGAAGCTGTCCTGGAAGGAGCCCCAGCTCTGGAGGGGATGCCAGGGCAGCCGAGCCGAGTCAGGGGCCTGCCACCCATGGCTGCCTAACAGGCATCTCCACCCCGCCAGGGCAAGGCCATTGACTTTGTGGGCGTGAATGAAAACAGCGTGCGCTGGATCCAGGACTTCCGCATGAAGGCCTACGCCAGCCCCGCCAAGCTGGAGTCCATTGATGGTGAGGGGCCCCGCAGGCTTGCAGGGTCTTTGAGGGAAACGAAGGTTTCTCAGCAATAATTTTTATTTTATTTTTTTTGCTTTTTGGTGAGGCAGTTGGGGTTAAGTGACTTGCCCAGGGTCACGCAGCTAGTAAGTATCAAGTGTCTTAGGCCGGATTTGAACTCAGGTCCTCCTGACTCCAAGGCTGGAGCTCTATCCACTGTGCCACCTTGCTGCCCCACAGCGCCAGTTTTCAAGGATGAGGAGCAGACAAAAGATAAGGGGCGAGGCAATGGGGTGACCACCTTCCTTGGGCCATACTTCCCTAGGGCTCCTCTCGGAGGATCTGGCTAGAGGCTTTGGCCCTTTCTGATGTCCCTGTCAGGCAGCATTTTAGGGGTGACCTCCCCCTACCCCCTAGCACAAGGCAGCTCCCATCATGCCCAGCACCTCCAGGATGGGGACCCCCCCTTGGGGCAGGGGACGGTCTCCTTAGTGTTCCCAGGAGCCTCACTGGAAGCGCCATCAGCCAAGATGCCACGGGTCACCCAGAGAGTGATGGACAAAGCAACAGACTGAGGCTGGCCTTTGGGGCCTCTCCTAAGGGGTTGTTGATTTAAAATATATATATGTGTATATATATATATATATATATATATATTTTTAAAGGAGTGCTGCTGCCTTCTGTTTCTAAGCCCATCACTTCCCCTGAGTCCACCCCTTCTCTGTAGCTCTTCCTGTAATTATCTGACAGTGCATGCCGCATTCTGCCCCCGTGGGCCCACACCTCTGCTGAGAGGAGGGAAGTGGGGAGTGAGGTACTGGTGGGTTGCCGCACCTGGGTGCTATTTGCCTCTCTTCCCCTCCAGGTGCCAGGTATCATGCCCTGCTGATCCCCAGCTGTCCTGGGGCACTGACTGACCTTGCCAACAGTGGGTACTTGGCCAGGATCTTGGAGCACTTCAGCACTGAGCAGAGTAAGTGACTCAGGGTGAGGGGCCAGGGGGCAGGACAAGGAGTTGAGGCCAGCCTGGCATTAAGGAGGACTGGGCCTTCTACTGTAGAAGTAGGGGGGAGGTTGGGGGAGGAACTGTGGAGGGAGTTGGGAGGGGCTGGTATTCTCAGCCACAGGGTGTGGGGAACCAGGCTTAGAACCTCATTGTAGCCACGTGCTAGCGTAGTGATCTTGAGCCAGTCTCTTTCCTTACCAGAGCATTTGAGCTCAAACTCAGTAGAGAGAAATGAAGTGGCTGGCCTGGGTACAAAATGTTAACTCCACAAAGTCCAGGATGGGGGCCCCAGGGCCTGCCCCAGAAGAGGCTGAGCCACAGGCATCAGGAGGGGAGAGCCCCTCGGGGCCCACCTGAAGGTCAGGGGTCGAGTCTGGGCACCATGGTGCTGGTGTCCCAGACCTTTAGGAGGGCCATGGGTGAGCTGCAGGATCGTGGCTGGCAGAAGGAAAGAGGGATGGCCCATCTAAGCTATGCCCATGGGGCCGAAGGGCTGGCCTGCACAGAGGGGGAGCCATGGCAGGGAGGAGCCAAGGGCCAGAACTTCGGAACAATCCTGACTGCCCTAGGGTGCCCTGGAGGTAGTGAGCTTCCTGTCCCTTCAGGGCTGCAAACAGAGGCTGTTGGTATATGTGAGAAGGGATTCCTTCCAGCTGGTTCCTCCCATCTCCAGCTAGCTTCAGTTTCCTCATCTGTAAACAAGGCTTCGGCAGTGCCCTTGGGGATTTGGGTTTCCCCTTTGTGCCTCCTTACCCCCTCCCTCTGGGAGCCGTGTGGGCTCTGTGCTAGGCCTTTCCTGGGTCCTCCCCTGGGCTGGGCCAGAGGAGCTTGGCTGGCAAGTGGGTGAGCGATCCCTGCTGCCTGTGGAGGCTGGGTCTCACCCATTTCTCCCCTGTTGGGCAGAGACCACCTCCTGACCCTTGGGAGCCTGGGCTGGGCCCACACGGAGGGCTGCTGGGGCTGGAGGCAGAACCTAGGCTGCTCATGCAAACATCCCCCCTCCCCCAGGTGACCTGCCCCCTGGGAAGGGGGAGGGGGTCCTCCTGAGGCAGAGCCTGAGTGGAGACTAGACCAGCGTGCTCAGCAGTGGCCCTGAAGTAAGAGGCCCTTCGGGAAGGGTGTGAGCCGCTGGCACCCTGGGCAGCCCTTCTAGTGCCCTGTGGGATGCGCATGGCATCCAGGTGACCTTTGGCCTCCCCTCTAGAGCAGCACAGGTGAATGGTGGGTGCTCAGGCCAGGCGCTTGCCTGTGGTGCTCCATCCCCTCCAGCCCTCTGAGGCAGGCTCGGCCTATTTTACATGTGGGGAAACTGAGGCACCTTTCCCACCACTGCAGTGGAGACTCTCTGATGCCATGTCGTGCCTCTCTTCTTTTTGTCTGGGCTTGGCCTGAAGCTGTCCTCTGTCTGCCTTTGGTTTCCAGAGCCCATCTGTGCCGTGGGGCATGGTGTGGCCGCCCTCTGCTGCGCCACCAGGGAGGATAAGTCTTGGGTGTTTCAGGATTACAGCATGACGGGGGTAAGTCCTTGGAGAGGCAGGCCCTGGGGAGCAGAGGCTTTGAGGGAGTGGGCCCAGGCAGGGGCCTGCAGGCCAGGGAGCCACTTCGATCTGAGCAGCCATCCCAAGTGACCAGGCCAGCATTCTCCCCATTACGGAATTCAGGGACCGGATCTGGAATATTTGTTCAGGACTTGTGGTGGGAAGGGTCAGGGTACCCAGGTGGGCCCAGAGCCTTGGCTTAAGGCCCCAGACTCCAGAAGTCCAAGTTGGGGGAGGAGAGGAGAGGAGAGGGGAGGGAAGGGAAGGAGGGGAGGGGAGAGGAGAGGAGGAGAGGGGAGGGGACAGGAGAGGGGGGAAGGGAGGGGAGAGGAGAGAGGAAGGCAGGAGAGGGGGGAGGGGAGGGAAGAAAAGAAGAAGAGGGGAAGGGAGGGGAGGGGAAGGCAGCAGAGCGGGGAGGGGAGAAGGGAAGAGGAGAGTAGAGGAGAGAAGGGGAGGGGAAGGGAGAGGAGGAGAGGAGAAGAGAGGGGAAGGGAGGGGAGGAGACGGGGAAGGAGGGGGAGGGCCTTGCCCAGGGTGTGGCCCTTCCCAGAAATCCTGCCCAAGGGGCCTGCCCTCTCTTGTCTTCCCAGCCCTCTGTTTATGAGCTCATCCGACAGCCTGGCTTTGGCAGCCTGCCCATCATCATGGAAGACTTTGTGAAGGATGCTGGGGCCAGCTTCAGTGGTAAGGGGCGCCGGTGCCATGCACACGTGGGAGGTTGAACATGGCCTGGCATCCTGAGCAAAGATGGCCAAAGATGCTTTGGAGGGAAGGTCCAGCAGGCAGCCAGGGGATGCCACAGGGCACAGAGTGCTGGACCTGGAGTCAGGAAGGCCCTCAGACCCTGACTAGCTGCTTAACATTTGCCTGCCTCAGTTTCCTCATCTGTAAAATGGGGATGATAATAGCACCTACCTCAGCGTGGAGGTGTCGTGAGGATCACACGAGATCATGTTTGCAGTCTCAGTAAGTCCCAGGTGAGAGGTAGCCATTCTTTTTACTCCCGGGAGAGGCATGACAGAGCTCGGCCAGAGCCCGGCTCCCTCCCAGATCTAGGCTTTTGCTGGAGGCCTTCATTTGAGCAGAACCCTCTCTCTGCGCGCCCCTCACCATGACTCTGCCAAGGCTGCTGATGGTCACCTCTGGCCGCATTCCACAGAGCCTCGAGGCCCCGACGGTGCCAGGAGCTCTAGACCCTGGCTTTGACCACATGGGCACTTCATGGCAGCTTTCTATGCCTCCCTCAGGCATACTCAAGGCTCTGTGATTGCCTGCTGTCCCTAGTGAGCCTCCAGCAAGGCAGGCCGCGCTGCATGCTGGGTGACAGTGACCAGCTGGCAGTCAGGAAGCTGCCCAAGGACCCCCAAGTCCCACCTTGAAGGAAGTGATCACTAAAACAGCCCCCGAAGCTCCCCAGAGCACACAGCAGCTGGCATCGCTGCTCAGTCCAGCCCTGTGAGAGGGGCTCTCTCAGGATTGTTGCCCCCACTTTACAGAAGAGCAAACTGAGGTAGCTGAGAAAGGAGTAGGCCCTTAGAAATCCAGCCAGGTGGGGGCTTCTGCAGCCCTCCCGTCACGGGAGGGTGATATCCCTGGGCCCCCCAGCCAGGTCTGGGTGGCCGCTGCCCTGGCCCCTAAACAGCTCCCCATGGTGGGTGCCCAGGTGCCAGGTGACCACCCTCAGCATGCCTGGTGGAGAGGGCAGAGGGTGTGCCCCAGGTCTCGGGGGGATGAGGGTCCCAGGCTTCCCCCAACGGTGCCCTGGCTCCTCTTGCCCATAGCCAGCCAGCCAGATGCCCTGCACGTTGTCCTGGATCGGCACCTGGTCACAGGCCAGAACGACGCCTCCACGGTCCTGGCAGTGCAGAACCTGGCCTTCCTGTGTGGCAGCAGGTGAGCACAGGCCGCGTCTCTAGCAGGGCTGCTGGGGTGCTGGGGACCATCACATCCCAGGTGGGAGGCCACACTTGGTGATCATCGAGATGCTTTCTGGCTCAGGAGCCAGCTCCCTCCCCTCAAGGGGCCCCAGACTGAAGGTGGTCAGTGCTGGAGGCCTGGGAGCACGGGATGTGGGCCACAGGAAGGGTCCTGGCACTAGGACAGGCACTAGGATTCTTCCCAGGTTGGGACAGCAGGGAGGGCCCATTAGGAGGTGATGTGCCCTGAAAGGTGAACAGAAGGCTTGGATGCCTCCAGGCCGAGCAGTCCTCACCTGGGCCTGGGGGCCAGAGAGGAGGCTCACACAGCCATCATCCCAACAGGAAGTAAGTGGAGACCTTGGCTGTGGCTTCAGGATGCGAGATCAATGACCCCTGTGTCCTGTGGACCTGCCTGGGTGGAAGCAGCTTCAGCCAAGCCCCTCCCTGGGGGGATGGGGGGGATGCAGTGACACTGAAAGTCCCCTACCCCAGCAGCGCCTCCTTTTTCATCTGGGTGGCTTCCCCTTCTAGAGCTGAGCCCACGCCCCCCCCTTCCCTGAATTTCCTCCCTTGAGCCCAGGAGAGCTGCCTGCCACATGCTCTGTGCCCTGGTTGGAGTCGTTCCCATCCCTGGCCACCCAGGCCTTCTCAGAATAAGTGGGCAGTGCCCCTCGCTGACCCAGCACTAGGACACTGGGGCCTTGGCTGGGCCAGGCTCATGCACACACATTAATAAAAAGAAAATGAGCAACCACCCAGACCCCAAGTCCTGTGGGTACAGATGAACCCAAGAGCCGGGTGGGAGGCAAGGAGGGCTGGGAGGGGTCAGGTCAACGTCCGGCCCTTGCCGCAGCCCTAGAGATGGGAGGGCTCTGGCAGAGGGACCGCTGGGGACAAGGAGTCGGTGTGTACCTGTGTGAATGCCACCTCTTCGGGGCCGGCGCACCCCTGCCAGGGTCTGTGAGTAGCAGCTTGAGCACTGATCTCTGCCCTCCCCTGGAGCTCTACTTTGGAGGGGTCACCAAGCCACCGATTTTACACAGAGCTCCACTGTCTGCTTCCTGTTTCCAGGGAAAGGACCAGAAACATCCAAGCTGGGTGCTGAGGGGTGGAGGGCTGGTGGCCCACTGATCGCACCCACTATTCATGTGAAGTGTGGATGTGGTAGAGGCCCAGGCTTCCAAACCCTCCTGGAGTAGAGCCCTGGATTTGATTTCTGGGGAATCTGTGGATTTCAGGCCTCCTCTCTTCCTGGGCTTTGGCTAGTGAATGAGTGTCTAGGAATAAGAGGTAGCCCAATGCCCGTCTCCACTGCTTTGGGCTTGGCTTTTCAGACTTGGTGGGCTATGGGTGCCAGGGCAGAAGGCATGGTTCCCCTGCAGTGCTTCCTTCCTGGTCACTGGAAAATAAAGGAGAGGAGACCACCCAGAAGGTGTCGTCCTGAGGGGGTGAATCAGGAACATCTGGGGCAGATGGAAAGGAGGAAAAGTGGGGGCAGGGAGGGGCCTTCCCACATTCACCCCACTGTGGGACATCCCATAAACAACTGTCCAAAATGGAGCTCATCACCCCCCCCAAAAAACTCTTCCTAACTTCCTTGCTGCTGTCAAGGTTAGCACCATCCTCACATCCCTCAGGCTCACAGCCTAGGTGCCATCCTGGACTCCTCACTCTCACCCCTCTTACCTCCCAGATCCAAGATGGTGCCAAGGCCTGGCCACTTCACCTCTGCAGCATCTCTGCAGTCTCCCTTCTCTCCCCTGCCCCTGCCCCTACCATGTAGCAGGCCCCTCCTCCCTCACCTGTGGACCATGGTAGCTGCTGCCTGCCTCAGTCTCCCCTTCCAGTCCATCCTTCAGCCTCCAGTGGGATTTTCCTAAACTACAGGTCTCACCATGTTACCGCCTCTTGTTTTTGTTTTCGTGATAACCTTCACTTTTAAAAAAAATGTATTTTATTTTCCCCCAATTACATGTTAAAATGATTTTAATATTTAAAGTTTTGAATTCTAAATTATTCTATCCCTCTATCCCTCCCTTTCCTTCTCCCTCCCTGAGATGGTAAGCAATCAGATATAGGTTATACATGTGCAATCATGTAAAACCTTTCCATATTAGTCATTTTGTACAAGAAGACTTGAATTTAAAAAAAAAAAGAATTGGAAGTGGGAAGTCGCCTGCTTCAGTCTGTATTCAGTCAGTATGAGTTCTTTCTCTGGAGACGGAAGTTGGCTTAGTCACTCGTGCTTTGGGATTGTCTTGGATCATTGTATCCTCGAGGAGAGCCGAGTCCTTCCGGGTTACATTGCTACAATGTTGCTGTTACTGTGTACAATGTTCTCCGGGTTCTGTTCACTTTGCCTCAAGCTCATCTAAATCTTCCCAGCTTTGTGACCTCCAGTGGCGCTCTGTTTGTAACTTCCATTGCCTCCAGGATCAAATAAAAAAAATGCTCTGCTTGGCATTCTAAGCCCTTGATAACCTGCCCCTCCCCCCTCCTGTCTTTTCACACCTTACTCCGAGCCAGTGAGCTCTGTCCCACAAACAAGAACCTCCAGCCTTCCTGATCAGATGTTCTATCCCTTAGGCCTAGAACACTCTCCCTCCTTGCTAAAGTCCGGTCTTTCCCAGCCTCTGAATTCTCACCTCCCCCAGGAAGCCTGCCCTTCCTGGTCCCTCTAACTTAGCCTGTCCATTCTTTATTTATCCATGGTTGCTTGCATGTGCCTCCACCCCACCCCTGCCATTAGTCTGTGAGCTCCCCAACTTAGAGCAGTGCTTGGCATGACAGTAAGTGCTAAATAAATGTTTATTGACTGGAACGGAGCTTCGAAGTCTGTAAAAGCTACCTGGAGGCTGTAGAAGCTCTGGAGTTTATTGAATGGAGTTGGGGGAGGGGGAGTGACGGCACTTTGGCAGCTGAATGGGGGAATAGACCGGAGGGAGGAGAGCCTGGAAGTAGGCAGATTTCAGAGGGGCCGGAGAGGAGAGGTGCCGTTTGGGCTGGGTAGGACAAGGGGCAGGGCCTGCTCTGTCCAGGGTGGCCCTTGGGGGCCTTTGGGACATCCTGAAGATTTGGCCCCTGGAGCTGGCAGGGCCCAGGGCCCTTCACAAGCTTTCACTGTGCTCCCTCCACTGATTCCTTGGCAGAGGGCACAACCTGTTCCATCCTTACTCAATGGACTCCAATTTGCTTTTGAACAGAGCCCTGTTGTTTCCAGAGCTGGGCCCCTGTGGAAAGGCTCCTAGGGCCTGGCTAGGGGCCAGTTGGAGCCTCCACTCTGTTCTGGCACCCGAAATGGGGGTGGCGTGATGCTCAACCATTAACCCCAGCCTGGCTGGGCTGAACTGGGCAGGACATGCCCCAGCTCCCTCATCCCAGCCTGGATCTCGTAAGAACAAGGAAAAGTCCTGGAGGCCAGCAGTCCCATGGCAGCCCCCTTCTCCTGGCCTGGCCCAGCCACTCCTGCCAGCTCCTCCCTCACCAGGCTTCAGCTGGATGAAGGGTGCCCCGGGGGCTTCATGTGAGCCTAGCTAGGGTCTAGTCCCCCTCAGTGAGAAAGGATTCTGATTTTCCAAATCCCTCATGGGAGTCCCTGGAATGAGGGGCCCCGTGACCTTGCTCTTTCCCCTAGGCCTGGAGAAGAAGGTAAAGTGCTCATGCTTATTCCATGCCCCGATTTTGGACCCCAGAAGGAAGAGCCCAGCTACTGCCTGAGAATAGAAGCTGCCCCGGGGGTCGGGATTGATGGAGGTTCTCCAGGGCTTTTGGGAGACAGTGTGCCTGGTGAAGCCCAGGGAAGACACTGGAGGGGCCCTGGCCACCAGGCCTGTGCTGAGGGGTGTGGGTGAGCCAGCTCCCTCCCAGGAGGGGCTCAGCTATCAGAGCCTACTGTGAGCCAGCACCTCACACTGGGCCAGCCTACACACCAGGCCAAAAAAAAAAATCCCATCTTCATCCTCAGGAAGTGGCAGGGTGGAGAGAGACTACAGTCTGGCCACGAGCAAATCAATGCAAAACCCCTTCAGATGGCAGAGCACCCAGACTGAGGTCAGGGTGTGGTATGTGCCTGGCATGAGGCTCAGCCAGTGCAAGGATGCAGGCTATCAGGCAAAGTGAGGTAAACAAACATACCGGGACTGTGGAGGGTAAAATCACAAGGAGGAGATGAGCATCACATGGAGCAAGCACCTGATGGTGGCTGTGGGAGACCCCCCTGGAGCAAGACACAGGAAAACTGGAAAGAGAAGTGGCTGCTGGAGGACCGAGGACAGCACCTGTGGGGGAGGAGTCTGGCCTACACCCTACAGTAGGCAAGAGGGAGCCACTGAAGGTAGAAGTGGGAGAGAGACTTGGTCAGACCTGGGCTTTAGGAAGTTTAACATCAGACACATTTGAGAGGGGAGACCTAGAGCCCATGAGGCTGCTACAGTGGTCCAGGTGAGAGGATGAGAGGAGATGGGAAAGGATAAGCAGAGGGGAGGAACTGAGGGGTGAGAGGGGAGGAGGGGAGGGGAGGAGCTGAGGGATGAGAGGGGATGAGGGGAAGGGAGGAGCTGAGGGGTGAGAGAGGAGGAGGGGAGGGAAGGAGCTGAGGGGTGAGAGGGGAGGAGAGGAGGGAAGGAGCTGAGGGGTGAGAGGGGACGAGGGGCTGAGGGCTGGGGGGAGGGGAGGGGAGATGACGGGAGGAGGGTTGCCATGAGAAGGCAACCATTATTCCCATTTTATAGGAAGGGAAACTGAGGCTCAGGTCCTACAGCTGGGCATGAGCCTAACAATGGCCTGGGCCCTTCTCAGAGCCCCTCCAAAGCCTGAGATGCTGACTTCTTTGGGGAACGCCGTGCTTTATTCCCTCCCTCAGCTCAGATCTGGGATGGCCCAAGGCTGCCCCCTACAGTATGTCATGACTGGCAGGCCCAGAGCAGAGCCCCACTGGCCTACATACAGCCAGGCTGCGCTGCCTTCAGCTGGAGGGCTGTGGATGGAGGGATGGCAACGCTTGGAGATCCTCTGGTGGAGCTGGGGAATGGCGGCGGCTAGAGAACGTCCCTCCTGATGCCTCTTCCCCCTCCCTACACTCAGTCCCCTGTGCCTGGGGAAAGGGGCCCCCTCCTTTCCCACTTCAGCTTCTTTTTCCGACCCTTCGGAACAAAGGGAGGGGCCTATCTTTCCTCATTCAATCCCACCCCACAGGCACACGAGAACCTACCTGAACTTACCTGGGAGAGCAGCAGGCAGGGGGGAACAGGAAGGAAGCAGTCTGTTCACACCCTCCAGGAGCTTCCATTCTAGCCATGAAGAATCAAGTCCACTGAAAAGTAAATGCAAAATAAACCAAAGTAATCTGGGGACTGGGAACGGTGAGGTGACCAGGTGTAGAGTCAGGAAGACCAGAGTTCAAATCCAGCCTCAGACTGGGTGACCTAACTGGGTGACCCTGGGCAAGTCACTTCACCCTGTTTGTCTCACTCAGTTTCCCCAGCTATAAAATGAGCTGGAGCAGAAAATGGCAGACCACTCCAGTATCTCTGCCCCAAATAGTCACAGAGAGATGCGACTGACCAGCAAAATGCTTCTAGGTTGTAAAAATTGAAGGAGGTAATGAACCTAGAGCATCCTGCTAATGAATGCCAAGCAAAGGCGCCGCAAACAGCTGCTCTAGGTCCCTAAGCAGAAGACACAGGGACCGGGCAGGCCTTTCCGGGGATGGACTCAACAGCTGCGTGGAGGCTGGGCCCTGGAGGCAGGGAGGCTGATGCACCTACACCAGGGCACTGGCTCTGCCACCAGAGAAGGGGAGGGAACAGGAGTGGGGGAGATGATGAGAGCGAGGTGTTCCCTCTCGGATTACCAGACTGCGTACCCGGGCAGACTAGGAGGAAGACATCAAGAGGGAAGTTCATAAGGGTGGGTTTGGGGGGAAAGAAGCTGATGGCAGGTGCAGGTGCAGCTGCCCACCACGCTGCTGGAGATGTGGGACTAGAACCAGAGAGATAGAGACAGACAGAGGAAGGGAGGGAGAGAGAGACAGAGAGAGAGAAGGGGAGAAACGGAGAGAGGAAGGGAGAGATGGAGACGAGAGAGACAGACAGACAGAGGAAGGGAGGGAGGGAGAGAGAGAGAGGAAGGGAGGGAGAGAGAGAGACAGAGAGAGGAAGGGAGGGAGAGAAAGCGAGAGAGACAGGAGGAGGGAGGGAGGGAGAGACAGAGAGAGAGAAGGGGAGAAACGGAGAGAGGAAGGGAGAGATGGAGACGAGAGAGACAGAGAGAGGAAGGGAGGGAGAGAGAGAGACAGAGAGAGGAAGGGAGGGAGACAGAGAGAGACAGGAGGAGGGAGGGAGAGGAAACGGAGAGAGGAACGGAGAGAGAGAGAGAGATAGAGACAGAAGGAGGAAGGGAGGGAGAGAGACACAGAGAGAAAGGGAGGGAGGGGTGGTGGGGTTTAGGGCTGGACATGTTGGTCTGGGACTTATCTGCACAGAGACAATTTTACTCTTGGCACTGAAAAGCCCAACCAAGGGAGAGAGGAGAATGCAAGTTTGAAGGGAAGGAAGGAAGCCAGGAGGATTGTCTCACTTTTCTTTGTATCCCCAGTGCTTAGCCCAGTGCATGGCACACATTAGGTGCTTAATAAATGCTTATTGGGGGCAGCTAGGTGGCACAGTGGATAGAGCACCAGCCCTGAAGTCAAGAGGACCTGAGTTCAAATCCAGCATCAGACCAAACACTTGACACTTACTAGCTGTGTGACCCTGGGCAAGTCACTTCACTGCTGCCTGCCTCAGTTTCTTCAACTGTAAAAGGAGCTTGGGTTCCAGGGTTGTGGTGCAGATGAAAGGAGACGCTGTAGGTAAAGTGTGTTGCAAACCTTAAGCGCTCTATAAATGCACGCTATTATTTTCATCATTCTGGTCAGAGGAAGTGCCTGGAGGCCAGTGTTGCTGTGCCAGGGGCACGTCTCTGTTTGAAGGCAGCATTTGGGGGAGGGAGGCTAAAGGAAGCCGCCTCTTCCCAGATGTGACAAGCCCAAGCCGGAGCGGTCACTTGCATACTTGGCCACCAGGGGGTGCTGTGCCCACACATGGTCCTCCTTTGCCCCACCCCAGCCACAGCCCTGCCCTGCATAAGCAGGGCTCTTCTCAGGTGTCCATCTAACAGGCAGGTAAGGAATAGGCTGGTCAGCCGGCCCCAGGAAGTTCGGGGGACCACCCACCTGAAGGGAGGCCAGAGGGGGTGGGCCATCCTCCCTGCCCACCCCAACCCCAACTTGTGCTGCCTCAACCTCCCCAGAGACCCGCTTCTCAGGAGGAAACTGGCCTGGGCACAGGCCAAGAGCCAAGGCCCAAGCCTTTGGCACTGCCCTGAGATGCTGGGCTGGAAGCAGCTTCCTCAGTGCCAGGGCCCACTCAGCTTATGCATGGCTGCCTTGCCTAGAGATTGGCATGGGGGAACCAGTCAAAAGCCATCCCCAGATAGCTCCTCCCCAGCCAAGAAGGTGCCCAAAAGTCCAGAGAGTAGAGCCATGCTTAGGGATGAGGGGTATGTGGTCACTGCATTCCCCCTTTGTGTTTCTGACCCCTGAACAGAGATGCCAGGCCTGAAACCGGCCCTGAATGGAGATGCTGGGCTCAAACCCAGCCCTGAACAGAGATGCCAGGCCCAAACCTGGCCCTGTGTCCCCTCCTCTGCAAAAGTCTAGAGAGCCAGTGTCCAGATAACAAGCATTTGCTGACCACAGAGGCTCCAGGCTTCTCCCACAGGCCCCCAAGAGCCAGGGAAAATGGGCCCCGAAGCGGGGGGAGTCCCCAAGGCTCCTGCTAAGAGGTAGAGGGCTGAATTCCTGGGACCTGCTGAGCTCTACAGCTCGGGACCCCAGCTCAGGCTTCAACCTTGAGGGAAACAAGGCCTGTCTGGGGCTGCAGCAAACTAGTTTGTGGGCTTGACGCACTAGAAGATGAAACGGTCAGCTACCACAGGAACAAGCCAGGCCACCTAGGCCCAAGAGGGCGAGGACACTGGGGCAGTCTGCCACGTCCTTCTCCAGCTCCTTTTACAGATGAGGAAACAGAGGCAAGCAGGGTGAAGTCACACAGCCAGCAAGTGGCCGAGGCCAGATCTGAACTCAGGTCTTCCCTGACCAGAGGCCTGCACACTGTGGCTCCCTCTAGCCACCAGACTTCAAAGATTTTCAAGGGTCTCCTCCCTCAGCCTGAGTTTTCTCTGGAGAAAAACAAGCGTAGTAAGACAAACTGCTAGGCAGCAGGGGAATGATGGAGAGGAAGTGCCTGACCACCTAGGCTAGGGGGCACCAGAGTGCAGTGCTCTGGGTCTGGGGTCAGGACAACCTGAGTTCAAATGCTGCCTCAGACACTTCCCAGCTGTATGAGCCTGGGCAAATCTCTTAACTTCTGGCTACCTCAGTTTCCTCATTTGTAAAATGGGGATAACAACAGCACCTGCCTCCCCGGGGTCGTAGTAAGGACAGAATAAAATAACACCCGCATCCTTTGTGAACCGGACCTCACAGGGGTCCCAGAGAAGGCCAAGGGCAGCCAACCAGAGCAGCTGACACACGAAGGTAAGTAATCATTTTAATGCATTAGGCAAACTCCGGCATAAAAATCTGAACAAACTCTAGTCGAGCCTCATTGCAGAAAGCCGCATCCGTCGCCATGGACACGGCCCCTCCACCAGCTCAGCCCGAACTCCCAGCTCGCGGCCCTCCATCCGTCCGTCAGCCCGTCCACCCGGTCCTCAGTTCCCATTCTCAGCACCAAACATCCTTTCCTAGAAAGAAGGGTGGCGGGGCATAAGCCTCCCTGGACCGAGGCTTAGGCCAGCCCCTCCTGCAGCCTTCCTGCTGCCCCGCCCCCACACACCTGTAGCATCTTCTCCAGCTTCACGGCATCAGCCGCAAACTTGCGGATGCCATCAGACAGCTTCTCGACGGCCATCTGGTCCTGGTTGTGCTCCCACCGGAAGGCCTTCTCGTCCAGGTGAACCTTCTCCAGGCTGCTGGCCTGGGCTGGGGGCGGGGAGGGCTCAGTCAGACAGGGCCGTCCACTCCCACTGCCCCCACAATGACAAGACCCCGGCCCAGGCTCCCCTCTCCGCTAAGCACTAAAGAGGAGGCCCGGAGACGCCATTCAGACCAGCCCTGGGGATTCTGGACGAAGCTGTCCAGGCCCAACCAAAGCCTGGATCAGGAGGGGAGCAGCCCCTGCCCTTGCCAAAAGCCCCAAGGTACCGAGAGACCACATCCCCCCAACCTGGTCACCTGCAGGAAGCCTGCACCAGGTGGCCACTCCACCAGAGGACGGCCCAGCCCTCTGGCGCTCACCATCCTGGCCAGGGGATTCTGCCTGCCCCCAGCCCCCGGCCCTAGGGCGACACCCACCTTCTTGGACACTGAGCACAGGGGCGAGCTTGGCATTCTCTTTCAGCAGCTCCCCAAGGAGCTTGGGGGAGATGGTGAGATAGTCGCAACCTGTCAGGGCCTTGATCTCGCCCACGTTGCGGAAGGACGCGCCCATCACGATGGTCTTGTAGCCAAACTTCTTGTAGTAGTTGTAGATTTTGGTGACGCTCTTTACCCCTGTAGACACCACTTCCTCTAGCCTCAGGAATCCTGACCATCCCCCTCGCTCCATCCCCTGCCTGGCTTTGGGGCAAGCTGTCCCCTAGGCCTGGAGTTTGCTCCCTTCTTGGCGCCCTTTACCGCTCAGCCTGGCTCTGCCTTAGTCTCTGTATGGACCTTTGTGGACACCACCCAGAACAACAACCTGGACTCAGCCCCTTCCCCTAGGTCAAGACCCCTCCCAGCACACACCTCAAAGCCCACCCCACCAGGGGAAGGCCACCCCACTGACCCCCACCAGGGGAAGGCCACCCCACTTACCCTCACTGAGGGAAGGCCACCCCACTGGTCCCTCTGGGGAAGCTGGCCCTACCTGGGTCCTCCTGGGGCTCATAGGACTTCTTGTCTGTGTTTGCCACGTGCCAGTCCAAGATGCGCCCAACAAACGGGGAGATGAGGGTCACGCCAGCCTCGGCGCAGGCCACGGCCTGAGCAAAGGAGAACAGCAGGGTCATGTTGCAGTGGACACCATGCCGCTCCTCCAGGATCCTGAGGTGGAGAGAAAGAGCATGGCGGGGTGTGGCGCAGCAGCCCAGCCTCGAAGGCTGCCATGGAGCGGTCTCCACAAGGTCAGTCAGTTTTCTCCTCAGCTGACCGCCCCACGTCACTGTAGGCCAGCTTGTCCTGGCCCTGGGGAACTCCTGCAGGAATCTTATTCTGTCCCTTCTTCCTACCTCCAGCACTTAGCCTAGTGGGGGGCACATCGCAGGCATCTGACAAATAAATCCTGGTTGACCTGACTGTCCCGGAAGCATGGCAGAGCTGGACTGCAGCTGTCCTCGGCCCTGTCCAGCCTGACCCTGGCTGACCCTGTCTGTCTGTGTGCCCGAGTCCAGAGGAGCTGAGGGAGAGGGCCAAGCTGGGGGGCTACTCTCCCAAGTATGTGAGGCCCCACGCCCACAACTTACTTACTGCCTTGGGGGAAGGAGCACTGACTGGGTCTGACCTGCCGAAATCTGTGCCTCAGTCTCCTCCTCTGTAAACACAGGGTGGGAGGAGCCGAGGGCGCCTTACTTTCCAGCCTGAATTCCTTCCCAGGTGGAAGCCAGCTTGATGAGAATGCGCTCTTTGCTGACACCGGCTTCTTTGTAGAGGTCAATGAGGCGCAGGGCCCTTTGGACCATTTCTTCTTTGTCAAAGGACAACCTGGTAGGAGACAGGACGTGCTGAGGAAGCTCCACCCCTGCATGCTCCGGAGCCCACTCCTGTCCCCACCCCCTGCTTCCCCCTCGATGCCCCAGCAGGGAGGCAGTGGCCACCCCCACCAACGGCCAGCACATCCACACCAGCTTGGCAGGGGCCTAATTAATGCTGATGGAATGACTGACCCAAAAGTAGCTGGGTTTGCTGGCTAATTTTCAGATGGAGAAAAATCCTGAACTCAACCAGAATATGATATTTTAAAGGCAGCAGCTCCCAAAAGGCTGCCAAGGCCTGTCTGTCTCCTCCTCACTCTGGCTCAGTACTAGGGGAGCTCACAGTGGGACAGGCCCACCCACCTGGCATCAACTTCTGTGGAGACCCGGCCCGGAATCTTCTTCAGAATCTCAGCCCCAAATAACACAAAGAGCTTGTCACTGGCATTCTGGATCTGTTGGTCCTGGGATCTGAAACCCGACAACATTTCAGCCAGCAAACGTCCCCCAGAACCCAGGCTCCCACTGTGCCCAACACATAGGGTATTACCCTGAGGCCCGAGGCAGAGTGGGTACTGTGGCACCCACCCCCAAAATACCCGGAGCTGTGATGGTCCCAGAAAGTGAGATCCAGTGGGAATTCAAAGAGGAGGAGGAGGCAGAAGAGTCCAAGTCTTTAGGAGGGACCCCTGCCCTGTACCACCCCAGCCCCCTGCTCTCCCATTTTAAAGATGAGGAGACCCAGCCAGGTCCGCTGACTGCAGAGAGAGGAGGGTGCTTTCTTTCCTCTCAAGGAGAGGCCAGGAAGGAACGGGAAGAAACAGGAAGCCAAAGAAAGTACTTTCACCAACCTCAGGGACATTATGGACAATCAATATAACACCTGGGAAAAAAAGTATGGGATAATCGTGAATTTGAATTTGAAAGGGCTCTGCATGCCCAAACTTAATCAATGCAGCTAGTCTAAAAAGGAACTACCAACAGGGAAGAAAAGATCTTGGCATGCACAAGACCTTCCATCTCCCAACCCCAGGCATTCTCTTTGGCTGTCCCCAAGGCTTGGAAGGCTCTTCCTCCTCTGCTCCAATGACTGACCTCCCTGGTTTCCTTTAAGGCCCAACTAAAATCTCAGCTTCTACAGGAAGCCTTCCTCAGCCACTCTTTTTTCCAGGGCCTTCCCTCGGTTAATTTTCTCCTAGTCATCCTGTATACATCTTGCTTTGTAGATGTCTGTTTGCTCGCTGTCTCCCTCATTTGATTGTAAGCTCCTTGAGGGCAGGGATCGTGGTTTTTGCCTTTCTTTGTATCCTCATGTTTAACACATGCACAGTGCCTGGCACACAAAAGTGCCTTCCAGAGTAGAGACTCCCTGCAGCACTGCAGTTTGGTACCTTCTCGGGGACTCAGAGGCCTGGACAGCTGCCAAGGGTACTTGAGGGGGTCCCTGAGGGCTTAAGTGACTTGCCCTGCATCACCTGTTCTGGAGGTGGAACTAGAACCCAGACAGTCCTGGATTCAGGACAGGTTCTCTAGCCACTGCTTAACCATGCCTCTCTCAAAAAACAATCAAGCTTTGAAAGATTGCTCTAAATCACTGACAGTAAAAGAAACGCAAATCAGAGTTACTCGAAGGGTACTGTCACGCCTAGCAAACTGGCAAAGATGACAAAAGATGAGAACCTAATGGTGGAAAGGCTTTGGAACAGCCACACTCATACATTGTTGGGAGAGTTGTGAATTCATACAAACATTTAAAAAACATATTATTTTATTTTTCCCCAGTTACATGTAAGAACAATTTTTAACATTCCTTTTTAAAACTCTGAGTTCCAAATACTCTCCCTTCCTCCCTCACCATATTCCCCCCATTAAGAAGACAAGCAATTCGATATAGGCTATACATGCGTAGTCATGCAAAACATTTCCATAACAGTCATGTTGTGAGAGAAAACAATAGACAAAAAAACCTCAAGAAAAATAAAAAGTAAAAAAAGCATGCTTCAGTCTGTATTCAGACACCATCAGTTTTTTCCCTGGGGATGGATAGCATTTTTCATCATAAGTTCTTCAGGATTGTCTTGAATCACTGTATTGCTGAGAATAGCCAAGTCATTCACAGCAGATCATCCTACAATGTTGCTGTTACTTTGTACACAGTACGTGTCACTTTGTATCAGCTCACATAAGTCTTTCCAGGCTTTTCTGAGAGCATTCTGCTCATCATTTCTTAGAGTACAACAACATTCCATCATAATCACATACCACAACTTGTTCAGCCATTCCCCAATTGACAGGCATCCCCAATTCCCAATTCTTTGCCCCCAGAAAAGAGCTGCTATAAATATCTTTATCCATATAGGTCCTTTTCCTTTTTGGTTTTTTATCTCTTTTGAGATATAGACCTGTGAGGTGCATGTGGTTTTATAGCCCTTTGGGCATAGTTGCAAATTGCTCTCCAGAACGATTAGATCAGTTCACAATTCCACCAACAGTGTGTTAATGTCTCATTTTCCCTACATCACCGCCAACGTTTTGACATTTTCTTTTTCTGCCCTATTAGTCAGTCTAATAGGTATGAGGTAGTACCTCAGAGCTGTGTTAATTTGCATTTCTCCAATCAATAGTGAATTAGAACATTTTTTCATATGGCTTTTATCAGAGAAACTTGCTTTAAAATTTTTTTCAGTTACTATTGCTAATTGTATTTCCCTCCATCCTATCCTTCCCCCCTTTTATTCTATTCTCTTTCTCCTTTTACTCTGTCCCTCCCTCCTCAAGTGTTTTGCTTCTGACTACCCCCTCCCCAATCTGTCCTCCCTTCTCTTATCCCTCTCCCCTCCTACTTTTCTGTAGGGTGATATAGATTTCTATACCCAGTTGAGTATGTATGTTATGCCCTCTTTGAGCCAATTCTGATGAGAGTAAGGTCCACTCATTCCCCCCTTACCTCTCCCCTCTTCCCCTCCACTGTAAAAGCTTTTCCTTGCCTCTTTTATGTGAGATGATTTACCCCATTCTACCTCTCCCTTTCCCTTTCTCTCCTTATACTCTTTTAGATATCATCCCTTCATATTTAACTCTCACCTATGCCCTCTGTCTAGATATACTCCTTCTAACTGCCCTAAAATGCCTTATGGGTTACAAATAGGTCCCCATGTAGGAATGTAAATAGTTTAAACTTATTAAATCCTTTATGATTTTTCTTTCTTGTTTACCTTTTTATGCTTCTCTTGAAGTCTTGTATGTGAAAGTCACATTTTCTATTCAGCTCTGGTCTTTTCATCAAGAATGCTTGAAAGCCCTCCATTTCATTGAATATCCTTTTTTTCCCGTGAAGGATTATACTCAGTTTTGCTGGATAGGTGATTCTTGCTTGTAATCCTAACTCCTTTGCCCTCCAGTATAGCCTAATCTAAGCCCTTCTATCCTTTAATGTAGAAGCTGCTATATCTTGTATTATCCTGACTGTGGCTCCACCATACTTGAACTGTTTCTTTCTGGCCTTGCTTGCAATATTTTCTCCTTGACCTGGGAGCACCAGAATTTGACTATAATATTCCTGGGAGTTTTCCTTTGGAGATCTCTTTCAGGAGGTAATCGGTGGATTCCTTCACTTTCTATTTTGCCCTCTGGTTCCAGAATATCAGGGCAGTTTTCCTTGATTATTTCTTGAAAGATGAGGTCTAGGCTCTCTTTTTCATCATGGCTTTCAGGTGGTCCAATCATTTTTAAGTTCTCTCTCCTGGATCTCTTTTCCTGGTCACTTGTTTTTCCAATGAGATCTTTCACATCGTCTTCTATTTTTTCATTCTTTTGGTCTTGTTTTGTTTCTTGATTTCTCATAAAGTCACTAGCTTCCATTTGCACCATTCTATTTTGAAGCAATTATTTTCTTCAGTGAGCTTTTGGAACTCCTTTTCCATTTGGCCAATTCTATTTTTTTAAGTTTTTTTCTTCAGTGAATTTTTGTGTCTCCTTTTCCATTTTTAAGGTGTTATTTTATGCTTTCTAAGATGTTAATTTTCTTGCGGCACCAAAAAAAGACATGTGAGAAGATACCTCTGCCACTTTGCAGAGATGGGGTGGGGGAAGGAGTCTACAAGTGTAGGACATTACATAAAGTCAGATTTTCTTAATGTATTGATCAGTTTTGCTGATATTTTTTCTTCCTTTTTGTTTAGATACAGGAAGAATTTTAAACAATGTAATAACAAAAAATATTAATAAAATTTGTTTTAAAAACAGAAAAAAAAAGATATTAATTTTCTTCAGTATTTTTTTGTGTCTCCTTTACCAAGCTGTTGTCTTGGGTTTTTTCATGATTTTCTTGTATCACTGTCATTCCTCTTCCCAACTTTTCCTCTGCCTCTCTTATGTGATTTTCAAAAACTTTTTTGAGCTCTTCCACGGCCTAAGACCAAGTCATATTTTTCTTGGAGGCTTGGCATGTAGGAGCTTTGACTTTGTTATCTTCTTCTGAGTGTGTGTTCTGATCTTCCTTGTCACCATAGTAGCTTTTCATAGTCAGAATTTTTTTCTGTTGTTTGCTCACTTTCCCAGCCTATTTCTAGATTTTTAACTCTTTGTCAAAGCAAAGGTAGACAACAGCAAAGCTGTTTTCAGAGATACTTCTAGGAACCTGTAAGTTTTCAGGTCTTCCTGACTCCAAGTTTAGAGCACTACCCACTGATATAATTATAATGACCAAGCTTGACCCCCCAGAAAACAGGTAAGGGAATACACTTCCTTCTCTTCATTGTGGAGGCTGGATACCACGGGTGTAAAATACTATATATGTTTTCAGCCATGTGGCTAGACACATTGGGTGGTTTTGCTGAACTGGTTTTCTACTTCTTTTGAAAATCTCTGTCCTGGGGAGGGCTCACAGGGTGGGAAGGAACATATTTTGAAATGAACATGAAGGACACACAGAAGCACCCATTTAAAACAGAAAGCTGGATGTCTCTAAGGCTTTAAGGTGTGCAGAGCACTTGACTAGTACTGCTGGATCCTCAAAACAACTCTGAGAGGAGGGTGCATTTTACAGATGAGGAAACTGAGATGAAGAGAGGGTAAGACTTGGCCAGGGCCACACAGTTATTATCCGAGGCAAGACTGGCTTCTGTCAGAAGGGCAGTAGTAAGTCAATGGGCTACATCTTCTTTGTAAATTCAAGATATTGAGGGAGAACCTAAATTTAAACTCACCCAAAACTTGAAGAAAGCTTTACCCTCCAGTCTGTAGGTATGCCTTCTGAAGCAAAGAGACCTAGTTCATGGACTCTACCCCCTGACTGAGGCTGTCAAGAGCCATGACACCATGGATTTCTCCTTAAGCCCAGGCACAGAGAAAGGGGAACGCAGCAGCCAAGACCTAGGTCTACAGCTTCGCAGGCCCATGGCCTCCTGGCAGCAGCAGGAGGTGCCTGGCGTGGGAACCATGAGCAAGGGTGCACCTTGCCGGGCACAGTGCCCAAGCACTCTGGGTTACTCACCCCCCGAGCTCTTTTCCATATGCAATAGCATCTTCTACTAGGTCCTGGTAGGCTGGCATCTGGGCCGCGGCCAGGATCAGTGAAGGATTGGTGGTGGCATCCTGAGGCTTATATTCCTCAATGGCTGGAAAAAGAATGGTCAAGACATAGCCATTCACATACTAACTCTTGGATCTCACCAGCAACCTGGGAGGAAGCAGTGTTTACAGCACACTTCCAAAGCCAACCTTTGACCCTATCTCACCTTCAGTTACTCAACCACCTGCAGGAAGGAGGAAGGAAAGCAGCTATGGGGTGGTAGAGAGTGGATCAGAGGAGGGAGGCCGCTCCAGCCACAGCCCTGACCGGCTCTACTCACTGCTGGAGAAGGAGCTGACGGTACAGGCTTAGAGGCCTCAAATTCCTATATGAATAGACTTCTTGGGTGAGGTCAGGTTAGAGCATGGACACACAATGGAATTAGGATCCTTGATCTGGAGTCAGAGGACCAGAGGGGAAAAAGAAAGAAACAAGGGCTTACTATGTGCCAAGCACTGTGCTAAGTGCTTTACAAATGCATTTCCTTTGATCCTCACAACAACCCTGGGAGGTAGGAGCTGTTACGATTCCCATTTGACACGCAAGGAAATCAAGGCTTGCCCAGAGTTGCGTTGTGAAGAAGCATCTAAGGCAGGACCTGAGCTCAGGTTCTGGCTCCAAGTCCAGCCCCCCAAGCTGCCAGGGTTCACCATCCTCATCCTGACACTGACCACTTATCTGAGCCTGAGCAAGAGTTGGGTAATCTCTAGGTCCTATTTCCTTCTCTGTCAGATGGTGGCACGGGGAAGGGCAGACTCTGTGACCTCTGAGGTCCAAGAAAGCGCTAACTCTCTGTGGGAGAGAGAAAAAGGGAAGAAAAGGGCTGACTATGAGAAAGGGTGATGACTGATAGCCTGCTTTTCAGCTCAAGACCCTCCTGACCTGGAGCCTTTATTGGTGGCTCTCAGTGAGTGACAGGTTGAAGGACCGAGGTCTTTGATAACCTCTACTGGGAGTCACGGGGATAGCTCTGGGGCTCTCCAGGAGCAGATAGTAGTGGCTTGGATATCATCGGGAGCTCCCCTTTACTACCCCCGACAGAAAACAGTAGGCTTTTAGCCCGGCCATCTGAACCCTAGCAAGAGTCTAAGCTGCCATCGGGGGCTCCCCTTTACTACCACCCCCCAGAAAGCAGAGGGCTTCAAGCCCGGCCATCGGGAGCTGCCCTTTACTACCCCCAACAGAAAGCAGCGGGCCTCAAGCCCGGCCACCCGAACCCCGGGAAGAGCCCGGGTCCAGGCACCCGGAGCACGTGGGCCCCTGCCCCCCTCCCCGCAGCTGGGGCGCTCTCTTCCCGCCCTGCATTCATTAAGCGCCTGCTGTGTGCCCGGCAGGCCCCGGGCCTCGGACTTACCGCGGAAGTCGCCCGTGTCGGCCACCACGGTGGTGAAGCGCCGCAGCTGCTCGAGGGCCGACTCCATGCGGGGCCGCTTCACGGGAGAGCCGGAGGCCATGGCGCGGGAGCGCGCGGGGCTGGGCCGGGGAGTGCGCGGGGAGCGGGCGGAGGCGCGAGACCGAGGCCGGGCCGGAGGCGCGCGCTCGCGCAGGCTGAGAGGTGTGGGAGGCGCGAGAGCTGGGCCCACAATGCCCCGCGAGCCCCGAGACCGCCCGGCCCCGCCCGGCAGGAGAAGGCCACGCCTCCAAGGCGGCCGCCCAATCGAGGCCTCCTAGGGGCGGGGCCTCTCCACCCTAGGCCCCCGCCCCCGCTCCGAGCCCTCTCCCAGACTGGCCAAACGCGTCGGACGGGCGCCTGCTGTGTGCGAGGCTCTGGGGTCGGCAGGGCGCCCGCCTTCCTTTCCAGTCCAATGCCTTCCTTCTACCGCATTTCCACACCCAGTGGTACACTGGCCCCGCCTCCAGGCTGTCGACGCCTGACACCCCCATCTCCAGTCTCGGGGCATTTTCTCACGCCGTGTCCCACACCTAGAGTGCCCTCCATCCTCATCTCCTGGCTTCCTTCCTTTGGGAGGGGCCTTCCCTGTGACACTGCCTACAGTTACGCTTGGTTGTCTCCCTTCCTTGGACTGTGCGCTCCTTTTTGCCTTTCTTTGTGCCCTCATCAGCGTGTTTGTAGAGGGACATTCTTTGCCATTAAGAAGCTCGCAGTCGCACGAGTGAGACACAAACCTAAGTTCTCCTCAATGACCCAGGGCTGTCCAAGCGGAAATCCTCAAGCTGAGGCACCGAGCCCCCTTAATGACCAAGAGCCCCCCACACAGCCCGCAGGTCCGAGCCCCCATTTGTGATCAGATTCCCCCAGGGGCAGTAGGCGTGGCTTCCAGGAGGCCCTGAGGGACCTGAGCCGTGGCCCATCTGGCCATCTTATTTGGAGCCAGTAGACCCGAAGGAAGGAGTCCGAGTGTCCGGCTCCCACTGGCTGGGGCTCTGACTGTCTGGTCCCCTTTCTTCCCCACAAGGAATGGGTGCTGTCCTCCAAGCTGGAACTCTGTCCTCACCCCTCCCACACACACACAGAAGTGGCTTGGGATCTACCAAGCGGGTCTGGCCCTGCTGGCTTCTGACCCATTAGAAGGACTGAAAACTCTGGCCTGAGCCTCTTAGGGGCTGGAGCTGAGGAGGAGGAGGAACTGGGAAAAGCCTCCCCCTCACCCCCCACTGCAGCCGATCCTCAGGCCCTCCTACCTGTGAGTCACCAGGCCTGGACTCCCCCCAGGCCCTCCCTCCCTCATCCTCCCAGATTAAATCCTCCTAATAGCCTGGAGAAGGCTTCTACTTTATACTGTTTATGTAGTATTACTCTGCTTTGGCCGACAAGGAAATGGAGGGCTAGGGACATGCTTCAGGTCACCCGAGAGTGTCACAAAGTCAGGCTTTAAGATTAAGGTCACCTGTCAAAGAAGAAACAAAGCTATCACTCTTTGCAGATGACATGATGATATACTTAGAGAATCCTAGAGAATCAAGTAAAAAACTACTTGAAATAATAAACAACTTTAGCAAAGTTGCAGGCTATAAAATAAACCCACATAAATCATCAGCATTTCTATATATTACCAACAAAGGCCAACAGCAAGAGATAGAAAGAGAAATCCCATTTAAACTTACTGTAGACATTATACAATATTTAGGAGTCTACCTCCCAAAACAAATCCAGGAACTCTATGAACACGATTACAAAACACTTTTCACACAAATAAAATCAGATCTAAATAACTGGAAAAACATCAGTTGCTCATGGGTAGGCCGAGCTAATATAATAAAAATGACAGTCCTACCTAAGCTAATTTACTTATTCAGTGCCATACCAATCAAACTACCAAAAAATTATTTTATAGAGTTAGAAAAAATAATAACAAGATTCATTTGGAAAAACAAAAGGTCCAGAATATCAAAGGAACTAATGAAAAGAAATGCAGGGGAAGGTGGCCTAGCAATTCCAGATCTTAAATTGTATTATAAAGCAGCAATCATCAAAACTGCTTGGTACTGGCTAAGAAATAGGGAGGTGGATCAGTGGAATAGGTTAAATATGCAAGACACAGTAGTCAATGACTATAGTAATCTATTATTTGATAAACCCAAAGACCCCAGCTTCTGGGATAAGAACCCACTCTTTGAAAAAAACTGCTGGGAAAACTGGAAAAGTATGGCAGAAACTAGGCATAGACCCAAATCTCACACCATATACCAAAATAAAGTCAAAATGGGTTCGGGACTTAGCTATAAAGGCTGATACCATAAGTAAACTGGGAGAACAAGGAATAGTTTACCTATCAGATCTATGGAGAACAGAAGAATTCATGACCAAACAGGAGATAGAGAACATTATGAAAAGCAAAATGGATAATTTTGATTACGTTAAATTGAAAAGTTTTTGCACAAACAAAGCCAATGCAACTAAGATTAGAAGGAAGGTAGAAAATTGGGAAAGAATTTTTACAACCAGTCCTTTCTGATAAAGGCCTCATTTCTAAAATATATAGAGAATTAAGACAAATTTATAAGAACACAAGCCATTCCCCAATTGATAAATGGTCAAAGGATATGAACAGACAGTTCTCAGATGAAGAAATTAAAGCCATCTATAGTCATATGAAAAAATGCTCTAAATCATTATTGATTAGAGAAATGCAAATCAAAACAACTCTGAGGTACCACATCACACCTATCAGATTGGCCAACATGACAAAACAGGAAAATGATAAATGTTGGAGAGGATGTGGGAAAATTGGAACGCTAATATATTGTTGGTGGAGTTGTGAAATGATCCAACCATTTTGGAGAACAATTTGGAACTATGCCCAAAGGGCTACAAAAATGTGCATACCCTTTGATCCAGCAATAGCACTTCTAGGGCTATATCCCAAAGAGATCAAACAAATGGGAAAAGGACCCACATGTACAAAAATATTCATAGCAGCTCTTTTTGTGGTGGCAAAGAATTGGAAATTGAGAGGATGCCCATCATTGGGGAATGGCTGAGCAAGTTGTGGTATATGAATGTAATGGAATACTATTGTGCTATAAGAAATGATGAACAGGCTGACTTCAGAAAAACCTGGAAAGACTTATATGGTCTGATGCTGAGTGAAGTGAGCAGAACCAAGAGGACTTTGTACACAATAACAGCCATTATGCAATGACTAAGATTGTTAAACTGAACCTTTCTCAGCATTATGAGGATCTAAGACATCTCCAGAGGCCTCGGGATGGAAAATGCTGTCCACATCCAAAGAAAGAACTATGGAAGTCGAATCGCTATCACTTATTTTTACCTTCTGTTGAGTTTTGTTTCATCTTTCTGATGGTTCCTCATATTGGTTTTAATTTTTACTTACAACTTCACTAATGTGAAAATATGTTTAATGGGTACGTAAATGTAAAGCCTATATCAGATTGTGCCCGGCCTTGGGGAGGGTGGGGGGGAGGAAAAGGGAGAAAAATTTTCAACTCAAAAGCATATGGAAAAAATAAAAAAAATTTAAATTAAAAAAAAAAAAAGATTAAGGTCACCTGTACCAGTGGCCCAGAGAGAGAGGGATTCCTGAGCCCTTAGACCCCCAAGCCAGGTTCTGTTAGCCTGGTGAGAAGAAGGGGACCCCTGCAAATGAGCACAGTCATATTTCAGGCCAAGGCCTAAGAAATGCCCACAGCATCCAGGGGACAGGTCAGTGCTAGCAGCCCCACTTTACAGCAGAGGAGATGGGCCTGGCTTGTCTGGAGTAACCGGTGGGAACCTGGGGATCCCTACTCCAGCCCTGGCATCAGCCCTCTCCACCTCTATGGCTCTCACCAAAGTGATTCGGTGACTTTTGCTTTGGACATGCTAAGGTTAACATGTCTCCGGGTCGTCCAGTTTGAAATGTCCAACAAGTAATTGGCCATGAGGGATGGAGGCTCAGGGGAGAAATTAGGGCTGGATATGTAGATGGAGACAATCAACACAGAGGCTGAACCAGTCAGTCAGCAAGCAAGCATTTATTCAGTGTTCGCTACATGCCAGGCACTGTGCTAAGTAAGCCCCGAGGATACAAGACAAGCCAGCATAGCCTCAAAGAGCTCCTGTGAGGGAAGCCAATCCACAGAGCAAGATGGTGGTTTTACTGGGGGGGGTTGACCTGACCTTGCTAGGAACTGTACTTTCATTTTGATAGCTAGGTATGAGACATGAGAGAGAAATGAAATGTCCAGAGAGGAGGAAGAGACAGAGGGAGAGGAGAGGAGAAAGGAGAGAAGAGTGGAGTTGGGGAGAGAGAGAGAAGGGAAGGGAAGGGAAGGGGAGGGGAGGGGAGGGGAGGGGAGAGGAGGGAAAGAAGAGAGGAGTGGAGTCGGGGAGAGAGAGAGAGGGAAGGGGAGGGGAGGGGAGGGAAAGGAGAGGAGGGAAAGGAGAGAGGAGTGGAGAGAGAGAGAGAGAGAGAGAGAGAGAGAGAGAGAGAGAGAGAGAGAGAGAGAGAGAGAGAGAGAGAGAGAGAGAGACTATAGAGAGAAGAGGACCCAGGACAGAGCCTTAGAGATGCAGCAGAGAGGGGCTGTGGTAGGCCCATGAGAATAGTCCAATAGGCCAGAGGAGAACCCAAACCCAGAGAGGAGAGAGGATCCAGGAGACGGTGCTCCCCAGGGTCAAAGGCAGCAGAGCCATCCAGAAGCCGGAGAACTGAGCAGAGGCCAGTGGATGAGAAGGGGCCGGTGAGTAACCTTGGAGAGAACAGGTTCAGTTGAGTGCTGTGGCCGGAAGCCAGATTGCAGAAATACATGTTTGTCTGCAGCAGGGAAATGGCCAGTAAATCGAGAGAAGTGAAGATGTGTGTGACAGGGAGAGAAAGAGAGACAAACAGACAGTGAGAGACGGAGGATGGCTGAAGGTTCAGTGTGCTGGAGCAGGGTGGCCATGAGACTGCAGAAGTCAAGGAGTCGTGCTCATTCAGCTTCTACCGTGCGGCAGGCCCTGGGCTAAGGACTCAGGAAAGGGAGGAAGGCAGAAGCCAGTCCTTGTCCTCAAGGGGCTCACAGTCTAACGATGGAGACAACATTCAGACGACCATGTGTAAACACAATATGGGTAGGATAAATTGGGTTTAATCTACAGAGGAAAGGGCACTAGAATTAAGAGGAAAGGCTTCCAGTGATGGGGGAGAGTTTAGCTGGAACTTGTAGGAAGCCCAGGAAGCAGAGAGGAGGCAGAGGTCCAGGCC